CCCCTGTGAGCATTCCCACTTTGTGAGATCCATAGAAAATCTCTCACTGACCTCTGTGAGCATTCCCACTTTGTGAGATCCATAGAAAATCACTCACTGACCCCTGTGAGCATTCCCACTTTGTGAGATCCATAGAAAATCTCTCACTGACCTCTGTGAGCATTCCCACTTTGTGAGATTCATAGAAAAAATTTATTTATTAATAAATTTAAAAAGTGATTTAATTTTGTTCAGTTCATGAGAAATCTTCAAAATTCAAAAGAATCCTGAAATTGAATTTAGAAGTCCCTCCTAAAATAAAGTAGTTTTGAGTAATTACAACAATGAAATTTAAGTTTGATTTGATGATTAGACAACCTTGACCCTTCAGTGCAGGCTAGCTTCAGTGCCATATTTCAGGATTTGTTTCCAAAAGAAATAATTTTATCATTTTCTCACGGTGATCACAATAATCAGTGGGATGTTATCTGCATATAAATAAAACAAAGTAGGAATACAACTTTTCAGCAACCACTGCATTCAACAATGTTGATGTGTCATCGCTAATAAACTTACATGTGTAATGGTAATCTTTCATTGGATCCAATTCTGTCAACACAGGAGTCTTGGTCATTACCATACTCAACGCCAGCTATTAGGGGTAAATAGATTCATGTAAGACATTATGAAAATTTGTGATTACTGAAATAGTAACAAAAAGCAGCATGGCATATAATAATTAGTGAAAAAAATCTGTGTTGTATTAATACTGACTGTAAAAATGTAAAAAACATTATCACCCAGCAATCTGTGAATCAAGCAGTCTTTTGAGTGTTTTTGATATATTGTAGTGAATGATAAATATGACTATTTTTAATTAACAAGTAATGGTGAAGTACCCAACGTTGAGACTCACCGCCATATCGCCTTTTGCCCTGTGCAAACAGTGTACAGCATATTCAGAGTTTGACGCTCCACCAGGTACAGCAGCAGAACATGCAAAGTCCAGAAAACTGTCAACTAAGTAAATAAAGCGAAAAACACATCTCCTTATGAGCAACACAGCAACCACCAATAAACTGGAATACTGTATTAAAACCATTTGATTTTCGATGTTAGAAATTCATTTTATGGAAAGTGAAAGTTAGGAGACCTGTGCATTTTTAGCACCTTTAGTGAAATTGTCATTGCTGCAAAAAAATTTCTGAAAATTTAACTTTCATGAAATTAACTCACTTCACATACACAATACTGATTATACGTAGTATAGAATGTTAATTAAATGATGATAAACTGAGATTCTTTCATATTAGCCAGTGCGGAAATTAACGCATACATACCTTGATCCTCTTCATATAATTCATCATCATTAGGGTGCCAAACTAACGTTTCTTTGTCAGGTACTGCTTTTAGATCATTCTTTGTACCTAGGTGATATGAATACAGACATCTCTCTATAAATTACCATCAAGGAAGAGAGTCACAATAGAGAATGCTTAGCTTGCTAACTGCTGTAAAACTCGTTTTTATCTTTCATGAATTATTCATTCATATTTCTCCTTAGATTTCTCAGAAAGTGTTATAATGTCACAATGCTAGAAGAGTAGCTAGAAAGTGCTCCTGTGGGAAGCGAGTTCAATATTCTTTGATGTTGACTCAACTTGCTGTTTTCAACAAGAATTCAAAAATATCATTTTTCACCATAAATGATTGTGGTTATTAACAAGAAGTCAAAAATATCACTTTTTACCAAAAATGATAAAAATATTCATCAAAATTAGAGAATTGAAGATATCATCATGAAATAAACAAATTTGAGAGTGGTCCACATGTAGTACCTATATATGTAATATCAAAGCAATTGGACTTGTGGTTTTTAACAAGAAGTCGAAAATATCACTTTTTACCAAAAATATTCACCAAAATTAGAGAATTAAAGATATCATTACAAAATGAACAAATCTGAGAGAGGTCCACATGTAGTACCTATATATGTAATATCAAAGCAAGTGGACTTGCCGTTTTTAACAAGAAGTCGAAAATATCACTTTTTACCAAAAATTACAAAAATATTCACCAAAATTAGAGAATTGAAGATATGATCATGAAATTAACAAATCTGAGAGAAGTCTACCCAAGGTACCTATACAAAGTGTCAAAGCATTCAGGCTTGTAGTTTTCAAAAAGAAGTCGAAAAAGTAAAACATTGACATGGACGACGGACAATCACTCATAGTGACAAAGTCGACAGCGGAGCTAAAAATTATCATCAAATATTTTTACGGGGCTTATATTTTCATTAAAAATTCAGCTACGCCGATTTTCAACACCGGCAGTTGGACCACCCAAAACGAAAGAAACTATTGCAGAAGCTAGTCTAAAATTGTATACATTTTTTTCCAGCTGAATTAAAAAGTAGACCGTGCATCTTTCTCCAAAAAAATCACATTAATGAACCCGAACTGCTGTTTAACGGCCCTGGGCGAATTTACAGCAGAATCCGGTACAACTATTTAAGCCTCTAATACACCAATTCCTTCAATGCATTTGTGCAAACAGCTGCAAAAATACAAAATAACATGTTGAATATGGTTAATTGGTGACACACTTTTTCCATACAAAGACACACATTAGCCTACTGGTTGTGCTCTACACACGGGAGCTAAAAATGGGACCACCAATAACACAATCTTAACTTAGCAACCAAGTAACAATTCAATGTCTAGTATAAAAATCTACTTACCACATAAAGCCGGGATCTGAGCTTGATATTCTTCACCAACATTTATTTTACTATTGAAATTGAAATTGAGATGAACACTCATTATCACCATGCACCCATATCAATTAGGAGTTTGAAAATAAAGGTTATGGGATACTGATTTGAAATTTTATTTTATACCTTTTCAAAAAATGTTCACTACTGCATGACACATGATCTCAATTTAAGAAAAAAATTAATTTTCGCTGAAAAGGCTTTTTGGACGTTTTTTATGGAATTTATTTTCACTGATTTTTTATGAGTTTAATGTGAAATATAGGAAAAAAAGTATATTTGCTGGATTTTATTTTCACGGAATCATCCCTTCAGCAAAAATAGCGAAAATAAATTCCAAGCGAAAATAAAGTATTCTACAGTATGCTAATTAGAAGGGAAAAAAAAAACTTACGGTTCCACATACACCATTTCAGATTCCTCCGCAACACCTGTTGAACCTACAAACGCAACAGAATCATTGTAAATAATTGCTACAAAATGAAATACCAAAACCAAAAAGCAAATGCATTCTGTGACAAGATTGATTGATATATTATCAGAAATATTGCTTACTTTGCCTGTGTAACTGTAACATACTTGGTGTCTTCGGCGTCAGTGGAGGTATGACTGCAGCAGACCTGGGTGTTAAGAGACTAACAAAGCTACCGCTGGAGTTAAGATTGAAGTAGAGACCAGACCCACTGCGAATTGGACTCAGCATTGGTGGTGGAGTATACGGAGGAGGCGTCATGCCTTTTATCGTTTTACCAAAGTCCCTGGGTGATCTCATTTGACTCTGATAGATATGTGGACTTCCAGCCATTCCTGTATTGACATAAGAGGGGATGATAATTGGATCTGGACGATGACGCTTCTTGGCGGGACTCGCCGGCAAATGAGCGGGATTGCGGAACACATCTTTTTGGGATGATGAACTTTGTGATGTATTAGATTTATTTATGCTCTCGTCTTCCTGACATTTCTTTGACTGATCTTTTATTGCAGCAGCCAGGTTGATAGGGTTTTCTTCGCTCACTTCCCTCTTTAATACCGGAGGCTCACCATTTAATGAAAGACACTCTTTTTGGGATAAAAATGGATTATTGTTATTGTTTGGAATGTTTTCCGCAGGTTTTTGCACTTCAGTTTTGATAAATCGTCGGATAGCTTCCGACGTAGTTGTGCTAATAGGCATGTTACTAATATTTGAGGGGAATTGGTGGGAATCCTGTAAACCAAAGCTGAATGGCAGAGTTGATGAGGGAAACTGAGGTGGAGTCATATCCATTGACAATGGAAACTGCGACTCTTGAAGAGGCTGTTGTAGTTGGGATTCTATTTCTTGTCTTCGTTGTTCTAATTGCAGTTGTCTTTGACGATCAACCTGTTGTCTCTGTTGCTCTAATTGCTGTTGTTTTCTCTGTTGTTGTTGTTGCTGCTGCTGTTGTTGTTGTTGTTGTTGTTGATTTCTTTGTTCAATTTGCAGTTGTAGCTGCTGTTGTTGTTGCTGCTGCTGCCCTAACAACTGTAGTTGCTGTCTCTGTTCTTCAATTTGTAATTGCTGTGCCTTGTCTACTTGCAGTTGTTGCCTTTCTTCAATTTGTTGTTGTCGCTGTTGTTGTTGCAGTGCTCCCAAGTGTAGCTGCTGATGTTGCTCCATTTCTATGTGTTGTTTTCCATGTTCTTCTACAAGCTGATCAGTTTTTTTATGCACTTGATGTTGCCTTTCAAGTTGAAGCTGTTGCTGCTGTCTATGGCCTTCAAGTTGAATTTGCTGCTGTTGTCGCTGGCCTTCAATTTGAAGCTGCTGTTGCAGTCTGTGACCTTCAAGTTGAAGTTGACGCTGTTGTCTCTGCTCTTCCAATTGAGCTTGTTGCTGAGCTTGTTGGGTTTGCTGCTGCCTGTGTCGTTCAAGGTGTAGTTGTTGTTGTCTCTGTCCTTCCAACTGCAGCTGTTGTTGCCTTTGTTGCTCAAGCTGTAGTTGTTGATTTTGTTGTTCTAATCGTTGTCTTTGCTGTTCAATCTGTTGTTTGTATTCTATCTCTTCCTGCTTTAAATCATGCTGATTCTGGGTTTCAAAATGCTGCTGTGGTTGCTGCGGTTGCTGATGTCCTGACTGCTCATCCTTGATTACAAGATGAGACTGCTGTGGTGGCAGCTGTTGGTGATGTTGCTGTTGTTGTTGTTGTTGCTGCTGCTGCTGCTGCTGATGTTGTTGTTGTGGTTGTTGCTGTTGCTGCTGCTGTTGTTGTCGTTGCTGCTGCTGTTGTTGTTGTTGTTGTTGTTGCAAATGTTGTTGATGCCTTACCATTTGTTCCTTGTGTTCTTGTCTGTCTTGTGTTTGGCTATCTTGCTCTTTTGGCTTTCCATCTGCTGGTTTGTTCCTCTCGTAGCCACCATGTAGTCGCATATGCCCATTTAAGGCAGGTACACTTTTGAAAGTCTTCTTGCACACTGAACACTCCACACAGTTATCATCCTTGTCCCTGTGAGAAAATAAGATTAGCATTCAATAATCACAATAATTAATATTATCATATATCAAAGAGAAACTTCATTTTAAAGACAACAAGTCATTGTTAATGACACAGCTATCATTATAACCACCCCGACGATATACTACTCGCTCCTTTAAACTTAAACAGGTTCAGGGGTACATTGATCGGCGAATACGTAAAGTACCCATTATAGGGTAATTGTTATGCAAAAAGCATAATTGCTGCAAGTGTGTTGTCTTTGATTGAATCACAAATTGAATTGTCATGGACAAGTATTGCTTCATGCATATTGTAAAGAAGTACCCTATGTGTTGTATGAATCACCAGGATAAATTTGAAACATGTGGCACTAACAAAGTAGATTTGATGGGGGTCCTAATGAGATAGTTACACTCATTTTTTGAAGTTGAGTAAACACAATGTTTTTTCTAATACATATTACAATAAATACTTATAAATGTTACAATTTATTGACCAATGTTACTGCACAACATATTAATCATGCTGTTAATCATTTTGTAAGGGTGCAAATTTGGGGAAACCTTGTGCATGTTGTCAGTGATGTGTTAGTATTCACTGTTATGTAAATATACCAATCAATGGATAGTCCATTGTTAACATTACTGTTCTACCAGCATTCACTGACTGTACAAATAAGCTGTAGTTCACATGCATCTGATTAGACACAATAAACAATCAAATATACATTTCATGTAAGCCCCTCCAAACATTATGGAAAACATAGCAGTGCTCATTTGCTAAATAGAAATAATTTACTTCTCTTCATACTAACTTAAACTGTCAATACAATTATTCTCAGGTTAAACCAAAGAGAATTTAAAGCCACATTATTCAGCAATATCTCAGAAATATACATTCAAGGTATTCAAAATTAAACTTTTATGATTTTATATACTGACTGATTAGTAAGAAAATTTCAGTTATTGCAACCAAACGCAATGTTAACAACTCTAACAACAATAACATGGACAGAATTCTTTCAAAGTCCATACCTTCCCTTCTGCTGTACAAAATTTGCACACAATGGCTGAATTCTTGGAGTGTAACTAGACATTTGAAATCAGTGTAGATAGTTCCTGTATCACCCACAGTTCAGAGTACAGCATATTCTAACAATAGCATGCACATGAATAGATAATGGAGCCATAGTTTTAGAATTATTAATAAACATGCAAGATATGTGAAAAGAACATGATTGATAACAACGACAACGACGATAACAACATACTGTTGAATGCATTCATTATTCACTGGTTTTCAGTTTCGTTATTTTCCCTGATACGTAAAATACGTAAAAGTGAACATGTGATATAACAGTAAAAATTATTGTTTTCCTGGCAAGTTTGTGTAAATAAAACCCAGTGAAATTGTTCAAAACATAAAAATAGTGAAATTAAATGGTTTTACAGTAGACAGAATGCTTTTAAAGGGGAACCGCTCAATCCCATGGATTGCACCAAAGAATCATGGGACACTATTGTTTATGTTATTTACAATGTTAATCTATCTTTTGTTATCCATTGTTATTTTAATCCAGAAAGTAAATTTGTTGTGAAATTAAGCTTAACTGGAAGGTGCCCCTTTAACTTGTATATCTTTCTTTCCCTCCCTTCCATTTCATTGCAAGCATTGTAAAACAAGCAGCCTGTCGGCTGAGATAGCTCCGCTGTTAGCAATGCACATTGCAATTAAAGAACAGAAGATATCATTAGAAAATGAACAATATGTATAGTATCAAAGCAACAGAACTTGGAGACTTGCTGTTTTCAACAAGAATTCAAAAATATCACTTTTCACCAAAAATAATCATCAAAATTAGATAATTGAAGATATCACCACGCAATTAACAAATCTGTCCACATGTAGTACCTATATATGTAATATAAAAGCAATCAGACTTGCGGTTTTCAACAAGAAGTCAAAAATATCACTTTTTACCAAAAATTAAAAAAATATTCACTAAAATTAGAGAATTAAAGTTATCATCACAAAATGAACAAATCTGAGAGAGGTCCACATGTAGTACCTATATATGTAATATCAAAGCAATTGGACTTGCCGTTTTCAACAAGAAGACGAAAATATAACTTTTTTACCAAAAATTTCAAAAATATTCATCAAAATTAGAGAATTAGAGAATTAAAGATATCATCATGAAATGAACAAATCTAAGAGAGGTCTACTCAAGGTACATATATACCAAGTATCAAAGCATTCAGGCTTGTAGTTTTCAAGAAGAAGTCGAAAAAGTAAAACATTGACACGGATGGCGACGGACAATCACTCATATGATAAGCTCCGCTCGGCAAAGTCAACAGTGGAGCTAAAAATTGAAACTTGAATAAATTTGTAGAAATATAACAAATCATTAAAATTAGAAAATTTTACTTTAGCGCCACGTCACATTTCTTTTGTAATGACCAATTTAATTCAAAGTTGTAAGATTGCTGACCCAGTTACAAAGATTGTTTTGTGCATGGGGCAAGGTGATCAATCCATTCCCAATCATGGCTTGGTCACAGATGGCAGGTTATTGATGTACAATATTTTTTTTTCATTTTATATGTCTGTACATATTCATAACATATTTATTATAATTCAGGTGCAATATTTCAATTATTAATGATAATATGAGGTTTTCCTGAAAAAACTGTAAAGTAAACACGAAGGTAGTACAGCGATTGTAGTAATTGATCCATGTGTAGTATAGGTTGATGTGATCCTGTACTGCTTAAAGTGCATACTTTGCAAAGTGAAACAACAGCCTGTCAGCTGAGATAGCTCCGCTGTTAGCAATGCACATTTCAATTAAAGAACTGAAGACATCATTAGAATATGAACAATATGTATAGTATCAAAGCAACAGGACATGCTGTTTTCTACAAGAATTCAAAAATTTTTACCAATAATTACGAATGCAGATACAGTTTTTTATAAAACAGTAAATTCTACTGTGTATAATGACTTGTTATATAACAAATAACATAGAAATGATAGAAAAATGACTACCTACTAGGGACTTTGTGAGGAGAAAAAAAGACAAGCAACCTGACGGTCGAAATAGCTCCGCTGTCTTCATTATTATGGAACAAGAATCAGTAAAGTGGCATTGTGGTTGTAATATTCATAGTCAGTCATTTAGAGAACATTGCACTTGAGTTACAGTTGCTTGCAGTTGCAATTATGAACTTTTATAGTGTTCATAAGGATCATGCATTTCATTGGAAAAACATCTTTGAGGCTAAACTTAAGAAATCGTGGGTGTTCAAAAGAGACCCCCATACCAACAGCTCCACTGGCTCGTCTGCGATGACAGCGGAGCTAAAAAGGATAACTTTTTTTTTTTACATTCATTAATGCAACACTACACATCTGTAATACCTACTAACTGTTAAGTTTTCCATATTGATGGTTAATTACGGTATATCCCTATCTGCAATGTAGCCAATTATGGCTACCTATGTTCTTTTTTGTATTCCAAGGCATCTTCTAGAAAAAAACTGCAAGAGGGAGCACTGCAATTCAGCGGTGCCACCAAGTGGGGAGATAGGGTTCTCCCTACCAATGGAGCATTCTATTAAATTACTCAGATAGATCACAGTTGAAGACTGTGGCCACATGTGATCCCTGGTCAATCAGAATTTTATGGTTGCCAGAGGATCTGCTCCCAAGGGTAAGGGGATGCATGGCCATGGCATGAGGGCACTATGCCACTGTTCCCTTCTTTAAAAAAATCCCTCATGAGACATTATCGCTGTAAAAAGTGTTAAATGCTTATTCAATGCTCAGTTTATCTTTTGAAAATTAATAATTTCCTGATTTAAAAACAAAACAAGTCATTGAAAATGACACAGTCCCCGTTAAATTATTGAAAGTTCTCTTTGTGCTCGTCATATTAAAGCGGAGGGATTATCGGGAGCGTGTTCTTGAAACTTGAGTTCCAATTGGCGTATACAACAGATTGTTTATTTACATCAAAACATGTGTTCCGTGCAGTAGTAATATGGCCAAAAATAAAAACAGTCGTTATTCGACCATCTTTGATCTGATTATGAAACACACTGATATGTATGATGTATGTGCCAAATACGAATGAAAATGGAACATAAATTGTGGAAATATAGTAGTAAGGCCAAAAAGTCAGATGGCTGTCAATCGGTCATCCTTGACCAGATTTTGAAACAAATTGTCATGGACATGCATCCTAACATGTATAAAGTACATGTGTGTGCCAAATTTGAATGAAAACTGACAGAGCACGTCCAAGATACCGCATAAAAAAAAACAAGATGCCTGCCAGTCGACCATGTTCGATCCAATTGCGAAATAAATCGTCATGGACATGTATCCTAACATGTATAATCTATGTACCAAGTTTGAATGACATTTTCAAAAAACAAGATGGCTGCCAGTCGGCCATTTTGAATCAAATCACTAAACCACTGCATGTGCATATGTCCCACATAAGGTACTAGGCACATGCAAAGAATGAACGGAATTGGTCCACAGGATTCTGAAATATGACTCTGGACAAAGTGATGGACGGACGGACTCAGGAACTCGCGGATGGTCGGGACATGTATCCTAACATGTATGATCTATGTATTAAATTTGAATGTAAACTGACAAAGCATGTCCAAAATACAACATTTTCAAAAAACAAGATGGCTGCCAGTCGGCCATCTTTGATCCAATTGTGAAATAAATCATCATGGACATGTATCCTAACATGTATAATCTATGTACCAAGTTTGAATGAAAACTGACAAAGCATGTCTAAAATACAACATTTTCAAAAAACAAGATGGCTGCCAGTCGGCCATCTTTGATCCAATTGTGAAATAAATCGTCATGGACATGTATCCTAACATGTATAATCTATGTACCAAGTTTTAATGAAAACTGACAAAGCATGTCCAAAATACAACATTTTCAAAAAACAAGATGGCTGCCAGTCGGCATCCTTGATCCAATTGTGAAATAAATCGTCATGGACATGTATCCTAACATGTATAATCTATGTACCAAGTTTGAATGAAAACTGACAAAGCATGTCCAAAATACAACATTTTCAAAAAACAAGATGGCTGCCAGTCGGCCATTTTGAATCGAATCGCTAAACCACTGCATGTGCATATGTCCCACATAAAGTACTAGGCACATGCAAAGAATGAACAGAATTGGACGGACGGACGGACGGATGGATGGACGGACGGACGGACGGCCGGACGGACGGACGGACGGACGGACGGATGGACGGACGCATGGACACACAGAAGCACGGACAGAGACCGAATTATAAGTCCCCGTTTTCGGACTTCGTCCGAACGGGGACTAATTATGACATTTTCCACCAACATCAATGCCAAAAAATCAAAGTATGAGCTAATTGAGATAGATCATTGGCTGGCACCCAACCACTGTTATGATTGGTTAATAATCAGTTTGACCTAACAGGTCAAAGAACACAGTTTCAACTAATACAGCGACCCCTTGCTAAGTCTCACCTAGGTAAGTCACAATTTCGGCAAAGTCGCAGATAGATACAACATACAATTTGTAAATATGTTTCTATCATTTCAATTAAGGTAGAGATGCAGTTTACTTGACAAGTATTTTAATTAGATAATTAGGAAACCAAGATGACCTCCCTTGTCCATAAACTATATATTTTCGGAAAGCTTATTGTATGAATTTTAAAATTGTGTTATTTTTTTTTTTTTTTATGGACACTGTAGTTTGAAAATATGCACAAAAATGCGCTTTTTTGGTCAAAAGTGATTTTAAAAAAATTAGCTTCTAAACCATGCTTCTGTTTCCTGTCAAAATTGGTTTATTCCTCAGCTCCTGAGAGCGAAGTTATTTGTAGATATGATGGCGATCGACGCTGTGTCTGCGGAAGTACTATGGGAGATTGCATGATGGGAGTGAAAAGTCTATTGATCAGTAAAATAATTTTAGAAAAGTGAAAACTAAAGTGACTGTGAAATAAAGTTTGGTTTTAAATATTAAATATCATGACATTTGGATGTAATAATGAAAGGAAATTGAACTGGTATGAAAGGTACATGTAGCCGGAAAGCAAGGTCAGAATCCGGGGTCAAAATACGTCACAATACATCCATCTAGGCGGTTGCAAAGTGTCAACAACTATGGGTGAGGTAAAAGACTGTTTGCAGTTTGCGTGAATGGCTGGGAAGAAAAATTCATGCAAATTCTGTGCTTCAGTAACAGTATTTGCTTCTTCTTTTTTTTGTGCAATGGAAATTAATACAAGAAATGCTGCCAATAAACATGCCCTTCTAGTACACAAAACATCCCTGGGACGTTTATCTTGAGAAATTGAGAAGACGAAAATCCCCTGGGACAGTCGTTGTGAAACAATAGACATGCTTCGCCAGGGTATCAAGTTTATCAAGTATCAAGATCCCGTCATTTTTTTTTTTTCACCATGTTTTTTTTTTATTATTTATGTACAGCCTTGCTAAATCTTGCTAATGTTTGCACCTGTTATCTATATTTTAAAATAGTTTTTTTGAGTATGTTCCACTATTCACAATTCTACAAAATTTTAACAGTCTATAGCCAAGACTGTTTAGATAATAAAAAGCAAAAAAAAAAAATTCACTCCCAAGTGCCCACGAACCTGCAATTCTACTATAACTTGTGTATTTATTAATCGTGATCGTGACGTTTTTTTCAATAGAGTAAACACACTATAAACAAACCCATGGATGTATATGGTAAGTCGCGACCCTCGATAAGTCATGGTTGTTGCTTGGATCCCGACACCCGTGATTTAGCGAGGAGCCACTGTATGTAATAAGAAAAATTCTCTCACAATGAAACAAAGTTGAATTTGATATGGATATCAACAAACCAATAAATTGATTTTTTGTACATTATTATAATCACAACCGAGTAATAATCAACATTTGTATTATCTTTTGAAATAGAATGACAGAATTAAACTAACATGATCATTCGCTACTAAGCAAAGAATTTGTTTTTATTCAAAATTTCTTTTAGACTGTACTTTTCTTTACCAACTATCGTAGTTGTCTGAGTATAAACCCCTTCTCAAATATAAGCTCCCCTGCAAACTTACAGCATTTTACAACAAGTCATTTATCTGATTACACTCTAGTATCACGTTTATGAATAAATTAGCATAAATTATCTCTCAGAAGGAGTTTTAACTTTTATCCGTTTATAAGCCTCCCCCCTAATTTTTCGTCAATTTGCCTATTTCCCGGAGGGGTTTATATTGTACGGTAAATTAAAATTTATGAGTATTTTTTTTTACCATGTTAAAATAAACTGTGGTGATTATTTCAGAATTAAATTAAGTCCTTCCACTCTTACCTGACATCTAAATTAAAACTTTTACAGTACATATCATGTGATTGTATTGACATTCCATGTTATTGAGAAATATTTTACTTTAGCCATATATGCAATAACGCAATGTTGTCTGTATCATGTTTATTATATGCTACATCATATAAGAAGTGTTAGTGTTGCAAATGATACCTGTTTATAGATTTTTCAATGAAAGCCATTTTTCATTAAACAAAGTCTGTACTATTGATTGTATACAGTAAAGTAAATGTCTAAATGGAAATGTGATTTTCATCAAGATTATTCAAATAAAATCCATATAAAAAAGTGTGGTCACTAAACTACTCGGCGAAAACAATTTTTCTTGGCCATTCACTATTGGTTTGTATGGTAAAAAGGTTTCATCATATCTCAAAATTTTGTTTGGGTACACAAGGCGAGAAAATAATAGGTACGTGCGTAACACAAACGTGCAACACCAAACGGAATCGCAAATAAAAGTTGATAAAAGTACACCATTTTCAGACACCAAATATATCAGAAATGACCAAAATACCATCAAAAAGACTAAAGACTGACAGAAGAAGAGCTATGGACCTACAACTTGATTTCAAACAGTGTTTCGCCAAAAAATATTTAGCACAGAGTCAAAAACTTCAAAAAATGATGATTTTTTTTTAACATTTATGAAACAAAATAATATAATAATTTTTGTGCTCTTATTCAATAGGTTGACCTTAATCAAAGTCAAAGCAGAAAATTCAAATTAGCTAATGCTAATGAACAAAATTAAATTCAACCAATCATGCACCAAACCCAGGTTCAATGTCATTTGAAGACAACAACCTTCCATATGTGTTTAACTAGACCATTGGCATTGACAAGGTCTAGAATTGTGGGATTTCACATAGTAGCCAGATATATGCCCAAATATAGGAAATCTGAAGGCTTTATAGTCTAAATTTGAGTGAGAGACAGTAAGAAGCCAGGCACCATGCTTTCCCACATAGCCTAGTCAAGGATCTGTAAAGCTTAAACCGTGAGCAAAAAGTTTATCTATTGAGGTGAAAAGATTAGTGCAAAGTTGAGTAAATATTTTGAGTAAATCACCAGACAGCCAGCAATTCCAGACCCTGCCTAAGAGTATAAGAAATCATAGATTCTTACCCAGGGAATTGAAATGTTGGTCGCCAAGGATGATTACTAGTTGGCACTCCATACCTGTGTGGCGTGTCAAATCTTGGAAATCCACCGGGCACTCCAGCTGGATACGCTCCACCGGCACCTGTAGGAAATTTCCCAATATTTTCTTGGTTAGTGTGTCCCTGTTCATATGTATGTCCTGGCAAATAGGAATCCATGTACAATTCAGGTTTAGTTACTGTATTGTCACCTGTTTTATCAGTATGCATCTGTTCCTGCGCAACCCTGGCAAATATCTGTAATGCAGCACTCGATGAAGCCCTTTGCTCCATTTTATTGCCTCCTTCATCGCTTGAAAAGCCATGGTTCACATCAGGAAAATTTCCAGGTAATGAAAAAGCGTTATGTTGATCTGTTGTGTGTCCCACAGTAGCTATAACTGATGAACTGCCCCCTGAATGTTGGGATTCCATGTGCCGTCGCAACGAACGTGCATCACAGTAACTTTTTTCGCATCCTGGTACGGAGCAACCGTAAGGTTTCTGAGTTCGATGAGTTAACATGTGTCCTGACCTGCAAATGAGAATAACAAATTCAAGTCAAAGAGTACGCTATATTTAAGGCATTGAATCGCAAAGTTAGCGTGAGCATCGTGTAGCAAAGTGGGAAAACATCACAAGAAGCTCATATGTGCATATTGTTGTAGCAATAAAATTTTTTATACGAGGCGACAATTCCTGACATTAAATTGTCACCGATTTTTCTCCTGACCTTTTTCCTGTGAATTGTGAACTCAGATTGCACATACAGCACAATTTGTCAAAACAACCATATTTTGAACTACATGGTAGGGCTGCAAGAAAGAGAGGGAAATATAATTGTAGAGAACGCATTAATACTTACAAGTGATCTTGTCGTTTAAATCCTTTACCGCATAACTGACAGACATGCTTTCTTTCATCACTATGAATTAATTTATGTTTGGCTAATGCACTGGAACTGCTGAACACTTTACCACACTCTGGACAGGCAAGAGATCTTGGTCCACTCTGACCACTTCTTGGTCGACCTTTTTTGGCTTTTGGTCTACTCTCTCCATTAGCTCCCTTATCACTGAGAGTGCCAGTTCTTGGAGAGCTAAGGGAACTGGATGAATTGCCACCACCTGAAATTGGCATAATGGAAGTAAGAATCCCTATTCCCATAATATCCGAGGGAGGGTATGGAACGCAGACTTTATACTGTGTGCTGTGTACTGTGTACTAAATCCAGTTTCTCAGGTAATTGTATCTACACTCCTGTTAGCAGCTTTTTAATCTCAATTCACTCATTCATTGTTGACACATAATTTAGGAGCACTCAAATTTACATTTAAAATTATGTATATGTCATTTCAAATATTTTAAAATAAGGTAGTAAATACTAATACATCAGAATGGAATGCTAATACATTACAATAGAATACTATATATATATTGTATAAATTTTTTCTTTTTAAAATGTTTTAATCAGAAATTCAGAATTCCACCCAGGGTTAAAATTTGTAGTAATTAGGCAAGGATTAGATTGTGCTTAGTGCAGGTATCACTTTAAAAGGTCACTCATGACTTTTTCTGCCTTCAGACAAAATACAGTAAAAATAAAACAAAAACAAATCTCCAGAAAGACCAGTAAGAAGTTTATTATGTTTTTTAGACTAAAGTATCCCAAACTGCAAGAAATTTAGTTTAATGAGACATGTCTATATGGTCATAGGATCTGCAACTGAAGAGTTTCATTAACTTACCTACCAGCTAACTCACGCTATCACAAGATCAGTTCTATATTATGTAAATAAGCTACTTAAATGTTTAAAATATAAATATACAGTCAACATAAATAAGCCTGTCAATGACTTTATAAATTATAAATGTACAGACTTAGTTGCTCTAATAGTAGTGTGAGTTGATGCCCTGATATAAATGACAAGGTGTTAAAATAAGTCATGTTTTAGTGATATACTATACAATAAATGCAACTATTGGTTTACCTGCACCCCTACTAGACGTGAGCTTCTATTAGAGCAAATACAGTACATAAATAACTGCAAAGACTCCTTTGGTTTTGAGAATCAAAAATGACAGACTGTTCCTTATCCTGACTAAAGAAACCGTGAGTAAAAACGAAAAAGGCACACAAATCTAGCCACCATGGATGTGGTTTAGCCTGGATATAATAACACCAAAAAAAAGTTGCCAGCCAAAAAAAGTGAATCCGGCTCACACTAAATTCTCAAAAATTGGCATAAATCATCCCATTCAAATATTTTTACAATTAAAAAAAAAATAATAAAATAATCAAGCACATTTGCCACTGAATATATATATATGCATGTCATATACACTATACATAACTGACTGATAGATGTGGACCGATCTAAAATATCAATGTGACCATGCTGAAGTTGAACTAGCCGAGTAGTAAATTCCTGAATTGGATTTGTTTTGAAATGCCTATATTCCCATAGGCACATTCGGAATTAACACACAACCAATTTATCATTTCCGCATGGTTTCAATGATATCACACTTCATCCATTCAAAATTAGCTTTTTGTTGTTGTCCCAAGTTTAAAATTCAATTCTTTAAATTTATTTACATAGTTTTTAAATGCAATTTGGCTTTGTTCTGTATATTTGCTAATATTTGCACTATTAGAAATAATATCAAATAATTTTAATATTAATAATTCAGCATACAATAATTATAATTTTTGTTTATGTGCGCTTTCATTAGAGATGAAATTATTTTTTTAAACAGATCATTGATTGAAAATATATCAAATTTTAGTGTTTTTTTTTTATTGGATTTAAATGTTTAAAGAGTAATGTTTAAATGCAGACACAACTTAAATTTGAAGGCCACATGGAATTACAACTCTGGCTTCAGCAGTGTGTTCTCTTTAATAGAACAGACTTTGTAACGATCAAATTCCTTTGAATCGAGTTAGGCCATCCCTAATGAGCATAAGAGCAAGCGAAGAGGAGGGGCGGGGGATACATTTTTTTGTACCTCTCTCACACTGTGGCAAAAAAAACATTCATTGTTGAAAATGAAATATTTATGTCTGTTACTTTTACTTTCTGAAAATGTCTGAAATCAAGCATTGAGGTGTGGAGATCAAATTACGAACTCCATACATAACATCATTCAATTTCACAATTCCTATATTAATCAATGTCAAAACTGTCTGTTATATTAATGGCATGTCAGATTTTTAAACTTATTGTAACATCATACCTAAAACTTATATGCATGACAATGGCTTTGAGGACTCACTGTACTAACCAGATGTTGTCAGCACAGTAGCCAGGCCTTCTCCATTGGAGATAATCCTTTTGTTTACAATCATAGACTGAAGGCATGTACTGAACTGAATCTACAGCACAGTAGATCAATTCACCAACTCTGAATATATTAGACGCTATCTCTAACTTCTACAATTTTATCGCCCAACCAAAATTTACAATATAATTAGACAGTTTACATTTAGTTTGTCCTCAAAGTTGTGTCATACATAAATCGAGCAATGTGATATTTATTTATTTGAGCTTACACTTGTTTACAAGGTTTTAAAGTACCAATCAAACCTAATGAACTACCCATCATGTCATGAAACTAACAGCTTCTAAAAACTTAAGCAGCTTTCCAAGAAATGTTAATTGTTGATACCTGATAAACCATATCATATATACGCTGCATTTCATACTATTCTCACCTTCAGTTCATGTTTCACAAAATAAACCAGAATTTATTTTTGTTTTTCAAAAAACCTTATTAAGACAAGTTACCAATGGATATTATGCACATTTGTGTCAAAATTAACAAAGAAATTATGGAAAAATACCCAAAAATTAGAAAAATGTAGCACTGAAATTTTGGTGGGAAAAATTATTGCATTCAAAGTTGAAAGAACTAATGTTATGCTTTAATACACATCAAGACTTATTGTACTGCCGGTATACTGCATTAAATTATAATTAACCATTGTAGGATAATTTCGTCATGCAAATGGCTAAGATAAAAAAGTTGATTTTATTTTAATAGCTGATTAATTATTAGCTAATTGAAGACAGCCTAGACCTCCACTCACCCCCCCCCCAAAAAAAACGAGTTGTTCCTTAACAACTTATCAACATTTGTTTAAATTTGAAGGTGTAAATAGCACATCAATTTGCATATCAGGTTAGTGCCATAAAGGTTACATTCCAAAAGGTCGTGACTACAGAAGGGTTAAATGGTCGAGTGAGGATGTATTAATAACAGTTTTGAATATGAAATAAATGTCAAACTGAGGTTAGAATTTTATTGTTTGCACGAACACAGCTAATTGAGTTTAACGCATGTAGTGGCATCATGTTCCACTCGCTGAAAGCAAGTACGACCCAGGTTAGGGAGATCATAATCATTTGAGAAACTATTTTTAGTACATTTGGTTTGCATTGTTTGTTACTTTTTACAGTTTTGTATTGTTCTATCTTGTGTACAGGAAATATTGGGCAGTCTTGATAAACGGTGATCACGAAACAGTTTGTCTATAAGTTTAAAATGCTAACCGATTGTTAGTCCAGGAAGTCACAAAAACAATAACAATATAAACAGTGACTTACTAGGTATTTGGTAAAATTTTTTACAATTACACATTTTAAGCCTACTTGTTTTATAATTTTACTTACCTGGATTGAGGTCATTGTCAGTGACGACACTGACAACACTGCTACTACTACCACTGAGGGAAGTTGTCATTGACGCAAAATTAGCTCCAGTGTCTGCTTCTGTACTAAATGTTTGAGGAGACAATGGCAGTGTATTCTGTGATTCAGAAATATAGTTACTATCGTCCACAGAGGGTTCATCTTCCACAAACAAATCAAAAGTTTCGTTATTCACGCTGGCAGGATTGGAGTCGAGTGTACTCTGGTTATCGCTAATTCGCATTCCTCCGCCTCCTCCCACATTAAGCAAAGTGTCCTCTAAACCGCCCAGCGTATTAGGAGTGGCGGTATCTCCCATCAGTCCACTATCGTGCAATAGGTGATCATCATTGTAATTGAGGGCGCTCAACATCTGATCAGCAGCTGGTCGATAAGAACGAAGTTGTTGATTTGATAAAGGGGGAGTATTACTGTATGACAGCGATGCAGGGCTCTCTTGACTAGGTTCAGCATAAGTGACCGGAATCACTGACAGTGGAGAAAGGGCTTTGTCTGAAACCAAGCTATTGCCGATATTTTCAGATATGGATGTTGATGTTTGTATACGTGTTGATTTCTCACTGTCGCCACGCTCTGTGAGAGAGGCGAGAGTTTGACTATCAATGTCTTTAGCTTGTCCATCACTGGTTAAATACTGATTGTTAATGGAATGTTGAGTCATACCAGAGAGAAGATGAGGCAAAGAAGCATCTAGAGCATCTCTACCACTTGTAGCAAACCTTTCCATTCTTTTATTAGAATCAGCTTTTGTGTAAACAAGCTGTGCATTGGGAATTTCAGCATACACAGTTGAGCTGGGGTAATTCCCGGAATGTCGCTGCTGATTGGCACTACTCCCCTGCGACAAATCCTGCCCAATATTGATGAAATCTCTGATTGGTCCAAGTCTTGTTGTCGGCGGGTGAGCTTGTACTGGAGGCCTGAAGCCATCAAACTGAAAATGGCTATAAGCATTAACTGGGAACGAGTGATGAACAAACTGGGATGACTGTGAATCCGGTTGCTGCTGTTGTTGCTGTTGCTGGGCAACACTCCTATTTACAATATGTTGTCCAATATTTGTGTCAATTGCTAAAGAATGTGTACCAATTATGCCAGCCACACTAGTATTCTGTAAGTGTCCAACACCCGCCCCTTTGAAGGACTGCCCAACCTCTCCACTGTCATAATTCTGACTGTTATCACTACTACTACTACTCATCCCTAAACTTGTCAAAGTTCTGGATAAGCTTGAATGTTTTGTTTGCGATCAGTTGTTACGCTGCAGCCAAGTTACACCAAGACTTTTTTCATAACATCGTGTAGTAGTATGGACCTTGATTTAAAAAAAAAAAGTGTAAGTGACAATATGAAACATCCACAGTTGTGTACATATATTTTAAATTGGAATTCCATAAAATTCCATTTCTATTTCCCCCATAGTTTTACCAAAGGCCATTTACCTCATCATGCTAGCAAAATAATTCTTAGAGAAATGGAAAAAACATATCATGGATAAATATATTATACAAGAAATACAGTCTGAATACTAGACTTAGTTATCAAACAGAACATTTGTGTTGACTGTAACTTTCGAATTCTAGCTAAACATGGATAAAATTCAAAGTGTAAAGATAAAATCATCCGTAACACAAGAAGTTGAGGGTCTAATACTCAATTATTTTTTTTTTTCAAATTTAGCCAGCAAGTGTTCCAATGTGCCTAAACTGCAACTGTTCATGAAGACTGGCACACAGCGAGTGTCGCAGCATAACATGCGAACACAGCTATGACGACGACTGGTCTGTTTATTATCCCCATGCAATCGGATAATCCATACTGATGTCACGGTGAACTTGAGTGTTCACCGTAATGTCAGACATTCCCACAATCGGTCAGTATATTCCTGCGTCGTATCCAGCGCAGTAATAGGATGGCAGACATGTACAAGACGCACACGAGCCACGATGTCATCGCGGAAATGCATTTTAAATCCTACTACTACCGCATTTGTGACGTTCGCCTTTCAATGACATTTCCAAGGTTGTCCACGTTGATGTCGGGTTATGTGTCGTTGTGGGACTTTCATCCGGTCATAATACAGTCCAGGCATGCACCGTTTTTAAGATCATGGCATAAACACGATGTGCACTGCAGACATCGGGCGAACGTCGATATAAACGACTGGACGTGTAACGCACACATACGGTATTTACGAATTGGAGAAGTAAGTGACCCAATTCGCGATGAACGATGTACACATACATCGTGAAATGCAATCGAAATACGCTGAGACATCAACCAAAAATAACACCGATGCAATGCTAATTAAACACACGATCGCATTGTCTTACCTATTAGAATGCAAGACGCATATTTCTGGAAGCTCGGTAATTTTTTTAAATGTATACTTTTGAAGGCTGGTATTAAAGATCTGTAAAACGACATGGCTGCAAAAGCTCGCGTATTCACTCATTTCCCGTTCATTTTCCACCATCCGCGCTGCAACGTAGTTCCCCCGAGCGCTTACGATATGGTCAAGTAAGTCGTCTGTATGGCACTGGTAGCAATACACCAACACCATTGAAAGCGTATGTGTTTCCCATGTCACACAATTTTCCCCCGAAACTATATCCGCTTCCTCCTAGCAATCAAAAATAGTCCAACGCCGTACAGAGAGTCACTAAAAGACTCCGCAACATATACTGGTGACGTCATGGGGACAGCGGCTGACGATTTGCTCATAGATCCTGATTGGTTAACATGGTTAATTATTTATTGTCATTGTTAATTGTATTATAGCCATCAATAACACGAATACAAAGGAATAATGAGATTACGTAACACATAACGAGGTGCTTGAGAAATCGTGATCATAGCTTTGCGGGTAAGCTGTGAGCTATTTACACGGTCAAGTTCACACGAAAAAGGTTATATATATATACTGCGAAAAGTTGGAAATGCGTCACAGTGGTAATTTTTCCGATTTTTCATAACTGAGTAGGCATGGCAATTCTGTACTACTAAGTATGGTGGTAAAAAATAAAAAAAACGGGAAACACGACAAGAGAACATCTGCCAGTTCAATTTCTTGAAAATAGACTCCTATCATTTTTAAAATTTTAAAAGGATCGTTCTTTAACGATGGGTCTTGCGGTGATATCTTGAAGGATAACGTACTGTACTGTAATTCTGGTGCGATACTATATATTGTTCAGATTAACTATTGCAAGAAAAATAACAATTAAAAAGGAACAAGTTGGCCATGGAATGCGGTGATTAGTGTGCTAGTGTTGTTTTCAGTGACGGTCGTACCCATGCCGTACCCATATACGACCGGACGATATAACGCTGCCGACAATTTACAAAAAAACTCATGCTGTTCATTGTGGCCGCTCGTTCATTCAGAATATTTAAATGTTTTACAATGTGTCAAGTGGGCTTAGAGATCTTCGATTGATTTTGAACTTGAAAAGAAGTCAAGTTCACGTATTCCATTGAACGGTATATCACACTCAATAGTGGCCTCTAAATGTAGAACGTTTGCTCGTGTTTTAAAATGTGCTACTCAAATAGAGTGTGTGGCCTATCCAGAATTATATCAACAATATGTTTTGTTTTCTTTTATGTGAAAACAACATTAATTCTAGGTAAAAATAAACGAGTAAAGTAATCCAACATATATTTTTTGTTTTGTAAACTTTATTACTCTGGTATGGTCTGTGACACCCACAAGCTTTATGTACGCATGCGCAAGGCCAGGGACCGAAGAGATTTACTCTAACCGGGGTTTCGATTCTAGGTCCCTAAAAATAACCGGGCGTATAAAACAGTGGAGCCACTTTCTTAACACCCCGGACGTGTTTTCACGATGTCTCGCTCATTTGATAAAAACGATTGTATTTATTTGGAAACTTTAGTTCAATACATCATAAAAAAATGATACGACCCGGATCTTCATGGGCAAGTTTGTCAGTTAGTTTCGAGACCCGTCCGAATAAATATTTTAAATTAATTGAGTTAGCTTCACAATTGATTACAAAAGATGTTAATATATATATAAATTCACCAAAAAAATGGATTTAAACAATTACGTATAGCGAACATTGCAAATCATCATCATCTTGAAGTTCAAGATGGGGGCGTACTTTCCAATATGCAAATTTAGTCTGATACCACTCAATTATAATTTGGCCCGGGCACGCATCCTTCAAGGGGAAAAAATGTAATTCGGAGTGAGTAGACTATTTCAATCCGTGACGTGACACGATGATTATGTGTACTATATAGCTTGCAATTATGTATGTTCGAAATGTACGCCGGCGATCACTCCACGGCGGCAAAATCACCCTTCCGACAATGATACAAAAAATCAAGTGCTACAGAACTGTAACTAGAAACGCGTTTATGAATATAACTGGTCACATATGGTCAATGTGTTTCCTGAAAATCTTATCTGATAACAAAAAGGTGGAACTTTGGGGGAAAGCGTCACAAGCGCTACCGGTGTGTTATGCATTTTGTTTGGAGAGCTCTCCAACTAAAGAATCTCTAGCAACGTAATGCTAAATATTCACGTAATATTTCTATGGACAGAGTGGCCGCGGTTTTTCAATATAAACAATATCCAAACACGGTCATTCTGACATCCTCCTGATGATTTTCAAAAAAAAAATCCTTTTTTTTTTCATCGCCCGTCGTAGATGAGTAGACGCTACCAAAACTGGGCAGTCCACGTACGATATTGATTTATCTGAGCCGGGGTAACGGAGTAAATGTAAAGCTGTGCGTTGGGCGACGGGATACATGTAACGCCGTGCCTTGGATTTACATCACCAACTTGAATCAGACCAATTGGAGTCATTTGCATCAGTAACAATCGCGGAATTCAACGTGTCAAGTTCATGCGATCAGTATTTAGTATATTCATTTATTGTTCATATCGACTACGGCACACGTACGTCGTAGTCACGATTACTTAAGTACGTACATGAAGACACCATCTACCGCCAAATATCACTGAAAAGTAAGTTTCGCCATATTCCAATGCAATCAGTCAATCGTCGTAATATATTGCAGAATAAATCAGTCAGATTGCGTGGTAAGGACATTCACAGCAAAAATGTTCCAAGAGAATTAAAAGTTGTATGCACTATGTATGATCTGTAGAAATCCTCTCATTGACTCATGTAAAGCACCAGGGGGGTTGAAACATTGCAGTTCAGGAGAAATCTCATCCAACAACATTTTGAAATCGAATTCAAAGTTCTCCTAAAACAAAGTGCTCTTACATGTATATGCCAGGATTTGTAGCCAACCCAGCCAATTTTATCGTTTTTCATACTCGTGGATTTCATGTATTGCTTATAATACAACGTCTGGAATACAGCTTCAAATCAGGTACCGGCAACTCGCTCCCGGTTACGATTGCCTTAAAGTTAATAATCCTTACTTCTGTCTATGGCTATGTCTGTCTTTTTGGCGGGCCGATTATATTCAGGTAAGTCACATCTGCACTTTGTCTAGGTCTAGAAAAAAATAATGCACCTAATCGTTGCCATGGCAACAGCCGAAAAATCTTGGACATATCTCATTCTATTCTACTCGAGTGTGTGCCAAAAAATACTACGTGCATTTAGTTCTTTTTTATATCTTTCTTTTCAGTGCATTGTCAAGAAATTTGACAAGGGTATAGTTGGGTTTTTTTGTCAGAAACGGCGTTTTTAACTTTTCTGTGATTTTGTTAGCTGACTGAAATTGTTCAAACACCACAGACAGGACATAGCTGCAGTAAGGCGGGGAATAAGTACCCTATCGTCGCCATGGCAATCCCTGAAAACTGTGATGCAAAGTAAACCTATGAGCAATAATTTGGAACATATCTTACACTACTATGCTTGAGAGTGTTACTATATTGTTTTCGAGTCGAGTGTATCCACATGGTCGACACTATTCATGACACGGCATTTCCAAATCACAGAATGTTTCACACTTAGTTCCTAAGGAGTTCAAATGTTGAAATCTATAAAGCGTTCAACTTCACTGAGTCTCGGAGTTCAAGATCATCGAATGTTCAAGTCTAACAAGAAAGTTCATAAAGTCCTTTTCTGACGGAAAGCCTTCCAGCCTACCGGATAGTCTGTATGTTGATACATATTAACTTGTGATTTGTTTGCCTGGCCGACATAGGGTGAATGGGCTATTGTTTATAAGCCTCTGTGTATTTGTTGTCAAATAAGATAAAATAAGGGGTACAACGATTATTACATATCAGCGTAATAGTACCACCCCGGCAATAACACCAGCTGCCCGGAACAATTATACATTTGAGAGAAAACTTGATATTTTTAAGCATAGATCTCTCCTTCCTAGGTCTATGCTTTAAGCAAAAAAAAATCAGAATCACTATAGTTTTGCCGAGCTGCCTGATCCAGTGATGTCACAGGCTATCAATTGTCAAACTACGCGTGGACGTGTGAAATACAAAATTTCGTATTGCAACATCATCATCAACATAGAAGTATATGAAACACACAGTCCACATGAAGTCAGTATATACCATGGAGGTAATAGCAATTCTTATTACCTCCATGGTATATGACGGATTTACAACGGCCACGCCTAATTGGGTTTATACGGATCGTTCTTTAACCACAGAGATAGGAAGTCTTGCGGTTTAAGCCATAAAGTTAAACTCATCCACTGAAGCACAACACCATCTGCACAGCTTGCCATATGAATGTACTATCCAGTGCTGTAGTGCCGTTCATACAAGTTACATGGAGAAACATTGATTTTACATTATTTACTGTAACTACGTAATATGAACATCTACCGTGGTCACTCCAAGCGCTACCACGATGTAGTATATATTAAACGGTGTAAAAGTGTTTTGCATCATATTCCCATCAAAAACTGAAATGAAAACACCATTTTTATACATTTTATGTTTTAGCTTGTTCTGGTAGGTGGTAGTGACGTTCCACATAATCGCACAGAGTAAATTCATAATGCTTGAGCCAATCAGCGAATCATGCGAACTGACGTATAAGATCGAGAGTTTTGTAATCTTCGATTAGCCAGTAATATTATATACACGTTCAGATATCCCAGAGTTTTGTAATGTATGTTATGAGTTGTCTGAGGTCTAAAGGAGTTTATATTACGATGGGTTTTTTCTCAAGGCCATATGAAGAAAAAAAACCCATATCAACACTAAATTTGCATCATCACCATCCACAGACTACTAGACTGACACACACGAATGTGTAGATTCACCACATCTGAAATCAAATCCCAAAACGCAATAATTTCTGTAAAATGGAGTTTTTTAACCAAGAATATAATTCAAGATGCATGGGCTTTCTTAGTAATCAAATGCTATTAAAACAGAACTGTATGTCACTAGTTGTAGTTTAAAGGGCGGTGGTCGTCCTGATCGATGTTGGACACATAGTGACGTATACAACGCGTGTAAAATAGATTTTTTATTTACATGAAATTTGAACACGCGCTACGACAACCGCCCTTTAACAAGGAGCACATCGCAGTCCTATATTGTTCCTTGCATGAAGATCCTAGAAGATGAACCGATCACACTGACCACACTCCCTATATGTGACTAAACAATGCTCAGTATTGTCCTGATTACTGAACGTTTTTATATGCGTATCTTTTATATTATCGTTGTCAACGTTACCAATATATCAGAGTACATGCGTTACAAGTGCGAAAATGCTTTTAATGAATGAATTGAATGCAAAAACAAAATGATTCATATACACATATCGATCACGGTTTTCAGTGCGTTAGATAATTATTCAATTATAATTGAATTCACTGAACTCATCCATCATTATAGACGGCATATTATATTCTTTTGTCATAGTCATATACTAGTACATCATTCAATATTTAACAAAAATAGAAAAACATCGCATACGGCACACCGACAAATACATTGCTATTATGGGAAGAAAACAAAAAATGTGAAGTAGACCTTATGTTAAGTAGTACAAACATGTTAACTTGAACCATACGCTAATAATCATCGTCTTTTTCCTCTTCTCTTAACACCGGCTCACCTGGTGAAATATAACAAGTTATAACACTGACTGTAAGAATCCTCAACATCAAGATACACTGACCACAGTGTGTCAGTATTGTGCACTCAGACTGTGATACTTTGCTCAATTCGGTGGATGCCTCAAAACATTAGAATGCGCTTCTGTGTTGTGTTGTTTTTGCGTAATGTTTGTTTTTGGGGTGGCTTACTCGATAATGCATAATTGGTTAATTATTGTTTTACCAGGTGCACTCCAAGTATCAGTTTACCCACGGTTTTTACCCACGGTTTCATATTAATTCTAATAACCGTGGCTTACCCTTTCATTTATTTGTATAATAACATAACAATATACGTCACACAGCATGCTCAAGTTTCCACCACATTTGCAAATAAGGACCCCCCCCCACGCATTTAGTCTTTACTCTCTTACCATCGAGTTTTTTCAGTTTAAGCATTTTTTCTTTTACATGGTTTCGGTATGCATCCTTCGTGCCTTCTTGAGAATGTTTTTCTTCTAATGGGTTACCAACAAATACAAGTTCTTCAAGCATTGGCAATTCACCCAATTTATTCAATTCTGCTACGTCTTTGACTTGATTATTACCTAGGTATAGCACCTACAAATAACAAACAACAGTAATTGTTCATTGTATTCCATTGTTTAAAAACAAAATTAGTAGTGTCCCTTTCACTGATCAATTACTGGTATTCATCAAATAATAAACAAAAATCCTAAAAAAAATATGTAAGCTATGTATAGATTCCGGCAGTTTAAAAAAATTTAAACGAATACGTAAATATTATTATAATGATAAAATACAAATATTATCACTACTAATAATATTTTTATAACAATACCGGAAAATACACAAGAAAGCGTGCTGGTATATATGTTAATCATGTCTATCACAACATGTATATCACGTTTCACTAACTTTGAGTTTCTTTAAGACTTGGATGCCCGTTAGTCTCTCCACTAAGTTGTACGAAAACCACAGTTCTTCGAGTGTATCAGACACTGCATCCTGGTAATCAGAAATTAACATTCATACAAGCATGAGTTGGCAGAAAAGTAGCCTAGGAGTATACTTTTCATCAAATTTTCCAATTCAACAAATTGTTAACCAAATTCTGCAATATTTACTCCTATTATATACGCGTGAAGGAATTTCATAATGAAATCTGTGTATTGCACTTTCTTATTGTGTGCGTGGTAAAAGTGTGTCTTCTCGTGTAGAAAAACAACACAAATGCCCAATTTTAAGAATTTCACCAAACATTCAGTGTGTTGAAATCATGATTGCAACAAATATTAAGAATTGTTTGGCTTTCATGTATCGTGATCATTTAGAGTATGTATGTGACGAGACTCCAGTATGAATTTAAATTGCATACTTACTAAGCCGTTAAAACTTTTAATATTATTTCTACCAAGTGACAGAATCTTAAGGTTTTCTAAAGAAGAATCAAAGTTGTACAACGTGTTTTATTTAAACTACATCAAGGAATATGCTGTCGCAGTAGAAAAAACACCTAAGCACCATTTGCTGAAGTTACAATTATTGCACGTAAATGCAACAAATACTATTAGAGTAGGTTAATTTTTATAATAAATAAATAATATAAATAAAATAAAAAAATCTTACTTAGTCCATTTAAGTTTGCAATTTTTTCAATGGAGTTGGTGGAAAGTGACAATTTCCTGATAAGAAAAAAAAGTAACTAAAAATAATACAGTTTAATTGAATACAGATAAGTTGTTAACCAATGATGCTGAAGATACTAACTCGCATGCGGCAAGCGTTGACAGAGAAGCATCCATCTTTTGTATTGGCGGGATCTGCATATACAACTTTACTTCCTTGGCCTCGGACGCTTTTTGACCTGTTTTCTCCTCCTACCAAAACAATAGTTAAAAAAATGCTTCTAATATAAGTAAAAATAACAACACCGCCAGTCACACTTGACTGGTCGAGGGTTACGCACATGCTTAATTTCACAGAGAAGCAAGTATACCCCCCCCCCACAGCGTAGTTTCGGAGTACATGTATATATACAAGGCAGAACTTCAAACGTTGAAAAAGTCTGCTCTCTGATTGTTATGAGCATGGTTCATGGTCTGAGGGTTATATGTTTAGGGTTGGATAGCCACTCGGTCACAATCTTGTGAGTAGCTTAGGATTTACTCAAAAACGGGTTACTTTTTAAAAGACTGGCAACCACTCATAGGCCGAGCAGGACAATACACCATGAACACATCAAATGCACAGAGACGTTCGAACCATGGAGGTAAAATACAGACATTATAATTACTGAGTAAACGGCGGAAATGATCATGGAAATCTGCTCATAAACCAGTTGTGGGGGGGGGGGAGGGGGCAAGGGTTATTTTCGTTCAACGTAATTGCAATATTTTTTTGTTCGTAAAACGTAAATTGAAAAAGAAAATTACGTAATTCTGTAATCACAGGCTAGACGTACAACGTAATCAATCAAATATTTTTTCGTACACTGTAAAAATGTGACATTTTTCTCGGTACGTAGAATTTACATCCAAATAAAGAAGTCGTAAAGAATAATCCAGGGAAATTACATTTTCGAAACTGTGAAACGACTAGATGACACAATTCACTGCAAAATTAAATTTTCACTGTAAACTGTAAAAACGTCCTTTTTTCCTTTTAAATTGTAAAAAGCCTATTTTATTTCCCGTAAAACTGTACCAGCTACCCCCCTTGCCCCCCTGTACCCCTGTAACTCCTTCATTTTACATCCATGTTCGAACAAAGCGAAAAGGCATCGTATCGGGTGTTTTCCTAAAAATCAGAAGTCCGCATTTTATAAACACTCACATGTCATACTTATGCTAGCCAAATGCCCGCCTCAGGCGCTACAGTGACCCATGCAGCTTGTATTCGAAATCATGTAAACAAGTGTTTTACAGGCAGTGTATATCGTCGCATATAACTCGTATCAATCGGGACGCGACGCGAATATTGTAGTGTCACGGTATAAACGCAAAATAAATGTACGTTGCTGCGTTGCTACGATATATTGCACACTGGCTTATATTTATTGTGTTGCATGTCAGACCATGTTTAGTATACACACAACCTCTTTTGTTACACTTGTTCCAGTACTGTACTTTGGTCTTGTATTTCTGCAGTAAGTAAACGTGACCTGCACGCATAGGTCATGACAAGCGATAAAACATGCAGCAATCATTTTATATATCACATTAACTCGCCACCAGAGTATTTCTTACGGCAGATGAAACAGTTACAACACCGTGGTAAGAACTGTTATTTTTCAACAATCTTAGTATATTGTAACACTATTCAGCGGAGGGAGAAGCGGCGGATTCACCATTTTCTACTATTCTAACATCTTATCTACAAAACCCCGTTTGGAATCATGCTGTCCACACACCGTGAAAACAACTTTTAAAAAGTGTGCGTCACTTACAAACTTCGCCAGAGCCTCTTTTATCGCTGTCCCCTTCTGTGCCTGCAAAAAAATGAAATGAATCTTTAACTTCGACTGATAGGTATATTATTTTTTATTATATTACGTATTAAGTAAATGCCGATGCCAAAATGAGAGCTTGAAGTAACAATGACTTACCATTTTGTTATTGTAGTTAAGCTTTATATACTTATGATACGCACCAACGCTACTAGTAATGGTAACCATGGAGTTTGTAATGCATCATGGGAGTGGTTGATTTACAGTTTATTTATTTCCTGAATTTTCTCCTGTCCTATATATATTTACATTTTGGGTCTAGCTCCAATGAACTTATACTTAGATTCAGACAAACAGTTTTATTTGCTTAATTTATTTTTCATTTATGCAAAAACCTGGAGTGATCATTGATGCACAAATGGCGGTGAATCAAAATCGGTATAAAACAGAATACAATTTACATTTTGGTATTTTACTAATTTAAATAATATAAATAATAATAATAATGACTTTATTGACATTTTTCATTTTGATAGAACATGGTCAAATGTTATTTAAAAAAAATGATTTATAAAG